ATGAAAACACAGCACATCAGAATCTGTGGGGCACAATAGAGGTGGTTGTAACAGGGAGGTCACAGCTGTGAGTGCCCACACTGGAAAACCAGAGCAGTCCTGAGGGAGTAATGTAAGGGTGTGCAGAAAGGCCCTAGAAGAATGACAACAAACCATCCCCAAAGTCACTGAAAGGAAAGAAACAATAAAGATCAGTGCAGAAATTAATGAATGTTAAACTAAAAAAGTCAGTGAATCAGAGCTAGTTCTTTCAAAAGATAAGCGATATTAATAAAACCTCAACCAAACTTCCCCAAAAGAAAATAAAAAAGATAAAAGTCAAAGAAGGCCCAAGTTTTAAAAAGGCAAATTTGTCATAGACCTTCTTGAATTCCATAGAATTATTAGCAATTATTTTACAAACTAACACTCCAAGAAGCTGAGGAATCTAGAAGTGCATAGAGCTCTAAACACACATGACTGACAAAACTGAAACAGAGAGAAACTTAGAAATCTAAATAAATCATAACAAGCATTGAGACTGACACAATAATAAAAATTATACCAACAAGGAAGAGCCCAGCACCCAATGGATTTACTTCTGAATTTTATCTGATCTTTAAGTAAGACCTTATAGAGATGTTCCTCAAACATTCCCACATAATACAAAGGGAAGAAATGATCCCAAACTCATTCTGTGAAGCCAGTGTTACCACGATAGCAAAGCCAGGTAAGTTTTCAACAAAAAAGAAAAACTACAGGCCAGTATCATAGATGAACATAGATGAAATATACTCAATCAGGCTCTTGCAAACTGCTCGACAACTCATTAAAAAGATTATACTCCGTGATCATACTCCATGATAAAACGATTATACTCCAGAAATATAAGAACGGCTTCACATACATAAATCAATAGATGCAATATGCCACATAAATACTATCAAATGATAATCTCAATAGATGTGCAAAAACCCTGTCAAAATCCAATGTTCCTTCACACACACACACACACACACACACACACACACACACACACAGAAACCTAATGGATACAAGTGTAAAAAATCTTAGCTGAGCCAGGGATTTAGCTCAGTGGCGCCATGCCTGACTTGCAAACACAAGACCCTGAGTTCGATCCCCAGTAATGCCCCCAAAAATTCTTAGATGAAAATGATAAGAGCCCTCTATAACAAATCCACAGGCAGTATCATATTTAATGGGACAAAAATGGTCAAAGAATTCTCTCTAAGACAGGAATGAGATGAGGATTCCACTCTCGCTACTCTTGTTTAATATAGTGCTCAAACATTTAATGAGAGTAATCAAAAAGAGAAAAAATAAAAAGGATATTTTTATATATGGCAGGAAGAAGCCAAATTATTCCTACTTAGAGATAATATGAATCTTTGCATTAAAAACCCCTAAGTCCAGGTACTGCTCATGGGGCTACGGAATGTGATGTCCATCGTGCTAGGTTTGGGCTTGCCTTGACCTAAGTCTTTTTTATCTCACTATTCCTTTATTTTGGAATGGGAATTTCCAGTTGTACTCATGCTATCTGTATTAGATACATCTTAGGTGGAATTGTGAGCTTGCCACAGTCTTCATTTAGAGTGTAAGAAAGGCTTAAGGAGATGTGTTTGGGTACGATGTTGACAAGGGATGGAATGTGGCCCTTAGACTGGAGTGTCAGCATGGTTGCCTTAGGGTCTCGTGGGACTGGTGGAGCACATTTCTGTGGGGTGTGTCTGGTGGGTTGGGAAGGTGTGGCCTTGGGGACCCTTTCTGGTCTCTGTCCTCTTTCCTTCTGACACTGCTCCCATGATCTGCTTCCTGGAGCAGCATGGCTCTCTCAGGCCATTCTGGCATGCAGCTTCTCAGCCAGCCACCTTGGACGGAACCCTCTAAAAAGGTTGGCCAAAATAAGCCTCTCCTGGGTTTTGAGAGTGTTGGGTATTTTGTCCCACGATGGGAAAGTGACTTCAAAGGTATCTTTGAAAATGGGAACGCAAGTCTCTGCATTATAGTGAGAGGGGGTTTATAGTTTATTACAGGTTATGTTGGTGGGCTTGGCATACAAGTCTCATCTCACCGTGACGCTCTGTTCACCCTGCGCTGACCTTGCTTTTCCTCACCAGGTTGGAGACCCAGGAGAGACAGTGTTCAGATGCTGCCACCTGGTGGCCAAAGACAAAAGGAACAGACACAGGGACAATGCAGACGGAAGAAAACTACTGGCAAAATTGCAGATTTGAGCAAGATTTTTATTTTAGGTATATTACATTTTAAAGACAATTTTGGAAATCATAGCAACTTTTAAACACTAAAATCTTTCCATTAATAGTTTTTCTGAGCACGATTTTCTGCTCATGCTTTTGGGTAAAATATATAAAGAGTAAAAGACTTCAAATTAGGTAGTTAAATGTTTAGTGATCTAGTCCTGATTAACTCATTTAAGCATTCATTTAGGCCTGTCGATCAAACAAAAACAATTTAATGGAAGGTTTTCGGTAGATATTCTTTTGTATTCTTGCATTTGCCTCCACAAGTTTCTTTTACTTAAATGGAATTATAACATACTGTTTTTAACTTACAATTTTAAATATAATTTAATCCTGTATAATTTTCTAAGAAATTGGTAAAGTAACAGTAATACCGGCACTTAAAGACTTATTTTACTTTTTTTAAAGTTGATATTTATACTACATTGTAAATACATACCCCATTCAGTCTCTAAGAATGACAAATTTATTTGCTTACCATACTTTATATTTAAAATTATTCTGGGGCGGGAGATTTAGCTCAGCAGTTCGGTGGCCTGCCTTGCAAGTGCAAAGACCTGAGTTCAATCCCTGGTACCAAAAAAAAAAAAAAAATCTGTATTAGATATTGTTATTCACCATTTTAGCCCCAGGATTTCACATAGTGCCTAGCACATAATATGTGATGACAAACCTTTACTAAATGAAAAATATATCTCTGAAATAGGTAAACTTTTCACTTAGGTTAAAATTTACATAACTTTTAATTTTGACAGACATTACCACATGAGACTGCTGAGTAGATATATTAATTTATGCTTCCTCTCTCATTAAACAAATTTACTCAATTCCATTATATTTTGCTATAATATTTCTCTATCTAACTAATAAAAATATTGTAATTGTTCCATTGTCTATTTTATTGATGTCAATAGATTTTATAAATTATTTTTAGCAAATTTGCTCTTAATTGCCTACTCATTTATGTTATCTATTTTTCTATTGAGTTATTTCTTTTCTTAATGATACAAAATCCATTTACAAAATATGGCCTGAATATTAAAATTTTCTCTGCAATAGAAGAAAAATATTCCAACTTTGATTATACAGACTTGAATAAAAAATTAATTTTTTCTAATGTGTTCACTGAGTCTGATGTGTTAATTGACTACATAGTCTCTTAAAATTAAGGTGATCAAACAATAAAACAATATTTTTTTCTTGTTTTTTTTGAAGCAAAACATTTATTAGTACATTTCAGATATACACAATAACATTCATCATAGGGAATTTGTACCTGTATAAAACAATATTATTTTAAAATATCAAATAAATTGAAAGAGTCAAGCCCTTTTATAAGGATGTTAGCTATTACAATTCGATTTTTGGAACACATATATTTCAAACATTACACTTTTGTCAAAGTAGTATTAGCCTACTTACCTAAGCCCTCTAGAAGAAAATTCATGTTTTAGTTACACCATAGTGTAATGCTAACTTTGTTTTTAAACTATGATTAAATTTTTAAAAAGTATCTACCTAGGTTTTTGTTGTGTTTATATGCCATTTACTGAACTTTTAAATTGATTCAAAGTTTCCAGTTCTATGTGCGTGTTTTTTTTGTAATATATGAATTCACTCTTCTATTGGACCATTACAAGTCTGCACTATAAATATGGCCGTTAACCTGACTTAAATTGGTAGCCTTTTTATTCATAGGATTAATTTTAGCAGAAAATTTTTTCTCAGTGAATAATACTTTTTGCTAGATATCCTTCAGTTTCTTTTTCAAAATGGTGTCAGCAATGCTTTCGGCAATGTATTTGTCATTATAAACAAAGCAATAATACAAGCATTACAATTATCATGAGTATACCTGTTAGAAGTTAACTCTTCTGAGCTCAGAGATGCTCTGATTAATACCGAAATGAGGGAAATTGGCAGAAATCTATCAAAGATAATACATAAAAATGACACAGAGAAACTGCCCAGTTGGGGCTTTGCTAACGATGATCTCCGCCAGGGTGGAACAGGTGGGGAGCGGGTAGAGAGGCCCATCAGACTGGACTCGGACTGACTGAAAAGCCCACTGCGCACCCAGTATCACAGTACCTGGTGTCTACGCGCCAGCGCTCCAGTGATGCGCAGCCCATAGCCAACCAGAGTCTGGGCGGAGAGCGTCTGCCAGGGCTCCCCGGTGGAAAATCCTGATTTTCCTTGTGTCCCGTTGCCATCTTGGCGAAGTCATTATGCCCAACCCACTCTGGTTGTGTGGGAAGCTCTTTATGCAATCATGAATTTCTTTTATGATGAATCATATGTATTCGTTTTATATTTTGTGCTTAATCCGATATTGTGATATTTATGTTGCTGGTCCAATTAAGCCAGCTTTAGTGGCTATGCTTCTTTGATGTGTTCCTGTCTTTATGTTTTATATTTTATGTGGGGTTTTTAATTAATTTTTGGTTTTGTTTTCAGTGTGTGTGTGTTCAGAACACTCATCTCCCTGCAGGGCTTTTCCAGACTCAGCAGCTCTGCTTTTCCAAGGGCCCCTGCTTCCTTGTACTGGAGAACGGAATTAGACACCAACATCTGTATCCCCGATGTGTTTGTCACTACTGGAGCGTCATTTCTTCTACTTCAGCTGAAACAGTAAGGCAATACGATGCGTATTCCTATACGTGTACATTCTAACCCATGTTCCTACAAATGTTTCTCTAAGTCTCCGTTTATGTCTATTTGAAGCTAAGCATGAGATTATATTAATGTCTCCGATGCCAGTTGATCGCACAACCGACCACTCTCCCCTTCTCTCTCCTCTTGTCTGTAACCTCCAGCCTTAGGAATAAGAAACCATGTTCCCGCTTCGTCATTCGTCAGAGTGGGCGTGGTGACTTCCGTGTCCCTAACACACCACCACCGAAGCAGGGCCACCGGCTGCAGCACAGAGCTCCTGTGTGGTTCTTTTTGCCTTCCGACTTTCAGACTCCACTCGGTTCCAGCCGCTTGGGCCAGCACGCATGTCCTTCACCCGTATTAATGAGCTTATTGTGTTTCTTTCAGGTTTATTTTTTATTAGTACACGTTTGCATTATACAGTGATCATATAATGATTATACTACATAATGGGAGTTGGGACAGGTAATCATATATCTCACTTGTTTTTCATCTTTTCCCTCCCTTTCCTCCTCCTTCTCTTCCTTGATTCCCTTTGCATGTGAGCAAAATCTATCTTCCTACTTCCTACTATCTATCTTTTATTTTGTTCTTTATAAATTTGGGTTTTTCATATAAGAAATCATTGGTATTTAAGCTTGTGTGTTTGAGTTATGTCACAACATTACAATGTCAAGGTGCCTCTATTTTCCTACAAATGTCTCGTTTGTCCTCGTTTATCGCAGAGTAGTGCTCCATTGTGTGTCAACCCACATTTTCTTTGTCCATTCGCCTGTTGATGGACATATAGACTGCTTCCGTGATCTTGCTGTTACGAACTGTGCTGCTATTAAAAATAGGTATACATACATTACTGTGGTATGATGTCTTCAACGTTTCCAGGAAGACATCTAGAAAGGGAACGGCTGTGTCAGATGGAATTTCTAGTTTTAGTTTACTGAGCAATCTCCACACCCAATCCCACAGTGGTTGCATCAGTTTATTCCCTGATGTCACTGTTTATGTTTCGCCTTCCCATAGCTGTAACTCCTGAGTGGTTTTTTTAAAATTTGAATACAATGCTTCAAAGATGTTGTTATGATGTTCAGGGTTCAGTGTAATGTACACACAATCCCATTATCACACAAAAGACCCACACCACCTTTGAGTATCTTCTCTGTTTTTTTGCACCCAATCCTGCCCAGTCTTATCATTCCAAGTCTATGGCCACCATTAGTTCGTTCACTGTGTGCATCGTTTTTATTTTTAAGAATGTTCCATAAATAAAAGCATACAATGCATAACCTTTTTGAACTCGATTCTTTCACTCAGTAATTTCATTTTGTGCCACTTAATAACTCATTTCTTTTCATAGATGATTAGTATCCCATCATATGGATGCGCTCCTTTTCTGTGTATGTAGTGAAAGACAGATTCTTGACAGCAAGTTGTTGTTGAACATGAATATTGCTGCTAGAAGCATCCATAGGCAGATTTTGTGTGGATGCACGTTTTCACATAACCTGGGTAAGAGGCACCTACTTGGACGGCATGGTAAGACTGTTTTTGTAGAAACTGCCTTCCACGAGAATGTACTTCTTTGCATTCTCTTCAGTACTGAATGAAGTCTTGTTTCTCTGCCTCCTTGCCAACAGCACTCTGTGTGTAGTCACCTCATCTCATTAAATTTGTATTATCCCAGTAACAAATGCTGTTGGACATTTTATGTGTTTGTCACTTGTATATTTTCTGTGGTGATTTCTCTAAAAAAATTTGTCCTTTCATTACTTAGTTCACTTTCTCAGTGTTGAATTTAAGAGTTCTTCATTTACTGTGGATACTTGCTTATTATTAGAAATGTTATTTGCAAATATTGTCTGACTTTATCACATGTCTCCTTATTCTTTTAGTGCCTTTCATAGAAGGAAAGCTTTAAATCTCATCAAAAGTAAAAAAAAAAAAAAAAAAAAAAAAAAAATCACCGCCAGGGCAGGGCATGGTGGCGCAAGCCTGCAATTCCAGCTACTACGGAGGCTGAGGCCGGAGGATCTCAAATTCGAGACCAGCACGGGCACTCTAGCAAGACCCTGTCTCAAAATAAAAACAAGACAAAACAAAATTTCAAAAGGGCTGGGAATGTGGCTCTGTGGTAGATCGCTAGCCGAGCATACATGAAGCCCTGTGTTCAACCTGGGGGAATGCGGAGGGAGACAACCCACGGAAGGCGCCGTCCAGCAGCAATTTCAAAAAATGCACGAAAGAGAAGCCTAGCCAAGAAAGCAGGATGCGAAGCTATGTGACGTGCGCAAGATTTTTCTGCTCTTTGCTGCCCCCCGGAGGAACCGGCCACCCGGCACTCACGTGTTCGAACACCTGTCTCACGGAACAGTTCGCCAA